TCAAGTGTTGCAGGAGGGCTCTAGAGTGTATACATCCCAGAAACATTTCCTCCGGTGTATCTGTAACGACCAAAACGCGATTGTCCTTGTCCGAGCGAAATAAAAAAGATCTCGTCTGTATGCGTTCAATCAAATGATCCTTCGCTCGTTCTGGATAGCGATAAACAAATCTCAGAGCAACGCGTAGCCCAAATTATCGAGAACCAAGTCGATCCAAAAATAATCTACGGTACTATTTTCGCATTAATCACAAATACATAAGGCAGTGATACCTCTGATAGTGAGCCTGATTCACTATCCAGCCAAAATGTTACAAATATTCACAGAAAATATCTGCGGTAATAAAAGGTAAATAAGAAAATGAGTCATTTGGACTACCTTTCAGATAATTCTGGATCAATAGAAAAATTCTGCAGGCTTCCACAGATCAAGCGAAACAATCTTGAGCGTTACAGCCAAAGGGGGTTCAATTTAACCGAAAGCCACGGTTAGTTCAACAACGAGCGTCCAATCGAAACTTTGGTTGCAATAAAACAAGAAAAAGCATTGAATTCCATTTGCGTATAAAAGCAAAGCACTTGAAGTGTGTCCAGTAGATACGCTTCACCGTAAAAAGGGTGAAATAGGAGGTTCAGAAGAGAAAATTCACCGACATGAAAACGACTGTCGGAAAGAATGCACGATAGAGTGGCGAAGAAAGATAAGATAATGCAAGGTAATTGAGAAAAAGTTTCAGTCGTTCTGACTGTTGCACCGGCCACCAAAACTCCTCCGAGCGGACAGTGTCCCTTCTAATGGTCTCTTGTTCTGGCTCCCCCTTCTTGCTTACGCTCCCGAAACAATGGAGCTTATAGGACTTACAGCAGTACGCTTGCTACCTCCCTTCTCTTGGGATGTACAGGACTTACAGCAGTACGCCTGCACATCCCCTAGCCTATCACCTGGGTGCTAGTTGGCTCCTTCTGATTGGCACAAGCGACGTACATCTCTTCCTATCTTGCCGCCACCTGTATGCACTGCAGCCGTTCGCACGAATCCATCCCCGTCTGTCTCCACAGCATCGATGACGCCCATGAGCCATTTGCCACGTGTTGTGATTTCAGATGCTATCAATACGATGTCGCCTGATTTGAAATTGCAATGCTTCGAAAGCCACTTTCTTCGCACTTGCACGGTTGGTATATACTCCCTCATCTATCGGCACCAGAAGTTATCAGCAAAGTGCTTGACTTGTCTCCACCGTCTTGTATAACTCTCTGTCATTGTGAGATCTTCTAGGTTTTGATCGTTCTCCGTCAACAACAATAAACTGTTCGGAGACAGTGCTCTTCTTTCCTTATCATCCGATAAGCACGGCACTAGCGGTCGGCTATTCAATATCCTTTCGATTTCTACAAAACAAGCTGACAATGTTTCCTCATGCATTAACTGCTCCTTCGTCGACACAAGCAGTAACCTTTGCACAGAGCGGATGATTCTCTCCCATACGTCCCCCCTTATGACTTGAGGAAGGAGGGTTAAAGAACCCCTTTATCCCATCACATGCAAGACGGTCGGTAATCTTGTGTCCATCCCAGCGTTTAATTGTATCCTTTAGTTCTGATACGGCACCCACGAAAGTTGATCCATTATCACTATAAATCTCTGTAGGTCTTCCTCGTCTACCGATGAATCTTAATAGCCACAGGATAAACGAATCTGTATTGAGACTGCCCGCTATCTCTAAGTTCACGGCCCGGGTCTGTAAACACGCAGCCATATTTCTTTTTCAAACCACGACTCTTGCGAACAAACAGAGGTCCAAAATAATCAATTTCTTCTGAGATAAAACAGCACCAACCCTTTTGGACTACACATAGCGGTAGGGGAGCCATCATCTGCTGACCTGCAGAAGCTACCATTTTCTGACATACTATGCATTGACCTATTATTCGCTCCACTGCACTGATTCCCTTGACAATCCAATATTTTTCACGAATCGCTGACAAAACGTGTGACGTACCACTATGTCCTTCTCTGCTATGATAGTGGCGAATAATAAGATCAGTCGATTGGGCAGGATCACCGGATGCTTGAAATGGGATGAGTAGTTTGCATAACTAAGTCGCCCACCTACACAAAGCAAGTCACTTATAATAATGGGAAAAAGCCACCTCAAAGAATTCACCATGTCTCCGTTTCGTGCTCCTTGAAGTCTTGCCTGTAATGTTGATTCACCGAATGTTTCGTTCTGCGCTATTCTTAAAATCTTTCATCGAGCTGCGTCGATTTCTTTGACCGTGGGATTTCCTACGCTCAGGGTACTTTCGTTTCTCGATGAATATATAACTCTAACGTAAGAGATAAAACGAATAATTCATGCAACATAGCTCTGTAAGAACATCGGCTCCTCCAACCATGCCTCTAGTTCTCTTCTTGTTGATATACCTCTCGAAGTAAGGTCAGCGATATTTTGTTCGGACCGGATGTGAAGCCATTGGGACACCGTGGAGTACTGATGGATGATTGCTAACCGATTGGCAACGAATGTACTAAAACGTGTTGAAGTATTTTCTATATAATATTTGACAATCATTGAATCCGTCCAGTACCACAACTTGCTGAACATCTCCGATAGAGCCCTTTTCATCGACTCTCCTATCTTGATTCCGAGGACTACCGCAGACAGTTCCAGTCGTGGTTTGGTTACGGGTTTGATATGTGCCACTCGAGACTTAGTGAACAGCAAAACGCTGTAAGCCGGTTTTCTTGCTGGAACACACCACGCGTAGGCGACGGCCCCATAACCTGTCTCGGATGCATCACAGAAAACATGCAACTCTGTTCTCCGTCCTTCTTCCCAATCTTCGTTTCTAATACTTCTTGGAATCTTAATCACTTCTAGAAACCTAAAAAAGCGTACCCAGCTTTCCCAAATACTGGCATCTACGGCATTGAGAGGTTGGTCCCAACCCATTTTGGATTTATACCAGGTTTGCCGCAACTGCTTTGCTGGGAGGCATAGAGGGGCTACCAGACCTAGCGAGTCAAACCACAAACTGACGCTGGATAATATACCTCTTCTTGTCACCAGCTTATCTAGTAGCTGGAACTGGAACGTAAAGACATTTCGTGTTGTGTCCCACCGCACGCCCAAAGCTCTCTGACAACTGGAATCAAATTGAGGCAGTTGAACCAGGTTGGTACTTGTGTTGTCTTCCGAGAGGGATTCTGCAAGTTTGGGTGAGTTAGATGACCACCTTCTCAGTTTAAAACCACCTCTTCCCAATAGTTCGGTTATTTCCTTCGCAAAACGTAAGGCTTCATTGCATGTCGTGAACGAAGCAAGACAGTCATCAACGTAGAAGTTTTTTTCTATGGCTTGTAGCACCGCACGCCCATAACCACTACCGAATTCTCTTGCAGCCCTGTTCAAGGCAAAATGAGCACAAAACGGTGAAGAAGTTGCATCAAACGGGTGAGCTGTCATTTGATATTCCTCGGGATCCCTAAGTGGATCACCCTGTGGCCACCAGAGAAATCTCAAAGCGCCTCTATCATGTTTTGGCACCTTCACTTGCATAAACATCTCTTCTGTCAGCTGTAACAACTACACGTTCCTTACGGAATCGCAAAAGTATACTCACTAAATTCGCGGTGGCTTCTAGACCTTGATAGAGCATGTCATTCAACGATTGCCCCTTGTGTTTTGCCGCACAATCCAAAACTATACGCATCTTTTCCGGCTTTTTGGGGTTTAATACCGCATGATGAAGCAGGTACCAACGCAGATGAAAGTCGCATTGTAAATGTTCCCCTGGGACTGGTACGGCATATCCCTTCCCTATAGTCATCTTCATCGTTTTTGCGTAGCGGAACCGTAGCCACTCGTCATTAATTAAGCGCCGCTTCATGCTGTTCAACCTCGAGAGCGCTGACGCA